AGAGGAGCAGAATGTTGATATTTTGGGTCGGCGCTCTTCTTCAGAAATGGGGGAGGGGGAAGGGAGCTCTGAAAGAAAGAGAGAGGAGGGGTGGGGCTGGGGAAGGGAGGTGGGATGGGGAGAGATGAGTGCAGCGAGGCAATGGTGGGGATTGGTCAGTGAGGTGGGAGGAGCAGATAGGTTGGAGAGAAGATGGACAGGTTGTATGAGGTCAAGGAGGCAGGGATGAGAGGGATGAGGCCAGGGGTGGGGAGATTTTGAAACTGGTGAAGTCCACATTGAGAACATTAGTTTGTAGGCTCCTAATGCAGAATATGAGGTGCTGCTCATCCAGTTTCCGGGTGACGTCATTGTGAAACTGGAGGCGGCCCAGGGTGGACATGTCGCCCAGGGAGTGGGAGGGGGTGTTGGAATGGTTCGCGACCGGAAGGTGTTGTCATTTGTCGCAAAGAGCATATGTGCTCTACAAACCGGTCTCCGAGCCTCCGCTTGGTCTCAACAATGTAGGGGAGACCACATCGGAAGCAGCGGATGCAATCGACCACATTGACGGATGAACAGCTGAACCTCGTCTGATGTGAAAGGTTTGTTTGGTGCCTTGGATGGAAGTTCAGGGGGAGGGAGAGGGGCAGGTGTAGCACTTTCTGCTGCATTATAACATCATAAAAGTTGCATTATAACACTCTCGACGAACAGATTGGAAGTTTCCACTGTGTGAAGGGTGCAATATTGATATAAATGAATTGCCATTGATTTAGACATATCACAGTTCCTTCATCATCACTTGGTGAATAACTCATTACCTAACAGTCTTGTGGGACCTATTAAGGGAAGATAATTGCCAGCAGCAAGTGGTCAGGCAATGTCCAGCTGTAAAAACCTCATGAGTGTCAATGGAAGTAACAATAAAATAAGACAGTTACACACATTATAGGAGACATAGCAGATTAAAATGATCAAGTTGATCAGGGAGAGCAGAGATGGACCAGAACAATGTCGCGTGTTGTAAAGCAGCTTTTGACACAAGCCACATAACAAGGGGGTGACAAAATGAGTCGCATTAGTCCCAGAGTCAGATAACTGAGAAGAACATGAGAAGGTGAATTGTGTAGATTACTGGTTAAAAACATTGAAATTATTTCATTATGTTCAACTTTAAAATCAAATGCTGGAGTCTGCAGCTCAGAAGATATCAGAAGCATTGGGATCAGAGGAAACCCATAGTTTAGGAAATAACTGGGAATCAGGGTGATGTCACTGGGCAATTGCTCGTGTGAGATAACATCACCGACTTGAACAGAGAGCATTTGGTCTGCACAAACAGGTGATCTCGACAAAGGATGTGAGGGTCTGAGGAGAGATTTGAAAGGAGATGAATCAGAATGGTTCAAGAATAGAAGGATATGAGGAGTTGTAAGGTCAGGTTGGGGAAACTGAAGTTCTGCACAGAGCAAAGGAGATTGAGCTAAAGTGTCTAGGTTTACAATAGGTTTAAATAAGGTAGACAAAGAGCTGCTGTTACTCTTTACCAACAGTAAAACTGAGAGACACACAGATTTAAGATACGAGGCAATAGTTACTGGGAGATATAAGAAAGGAATTTTATAACTTTTATCTTGCTCAATACTTACATTGAAAGGCCAATAATATCCAGTGCTGAGTGGCACTGTCAGATCTTGGTATGTTATGTGGTTTGAGTTTGCACTCTGTAAATCTTCTTCTGACATGCTGTAAATTAAGTTTACAAAAGCCATCTCAGTCAGTCCAGGACAGAATTTCAGAAGAGACAAATATTTCTGTTATTTGGAGTATGCTGTGTGTAAATCCTCCCCTCCTCACTCCCTGCAAAAGCAGTTTATAAACTCCATCCCTTTCAGTCCAGCAGAGACATTCACAACATTCTTTCTCCTGGCCCAGGATGACCGCACATGCACCCTGCTGCCCTTTGCCTCCTACAAAGATGGCGGCCGTTACCCGCGGCCTGCCGTTGAGAGGGAGCCTCGATTTGTCCCGTTTTGTGAAACGGGCGCAGATAGTTTCTTTATGCGGGGTCTGCCACATCCACAAAGTGTTTAGAAAGCCTCTCCGTCTAACCGCCCGGTCTATCGCCTCCTCCGTTCCGCCTCATTGTTACCTTTTGTGGAGCCGAGGAAAAGAGCGACTGCTTCTCAAGATCGCTCCCTGCGCATGCTCTAGAACGTGGGCCCGCGGGAACATACTGAGCCTGCGCAGTGATAAGGAATGCCGTGCATCGCGCTCTGAATTCTGCGTTAAGTGCCCACCATTGTAAAGACTGAATTTTATTTGTTGTAATGTGAAAAAGCAATCTTTCTCTACACTTTCTTCCAAGGCAACTGGGATAATAATATCAGAAAGTCTGACACTGAGCCACACTGCTACTGACACTGAGTCGCCATACACATTCTAGGTCACAGGGGAGAGACAAAACTGGTGGTGGGTTGACCTGAAGGACACCATATTTCATGTCAGCAGAGAGGTTGAAAGGGGATAGTAACCTCAGGCGGTGTGGGATTTAAATCTACACTGTTGGCATCATGAGGAAAACTGGCAAACGGCTCTGAGAAAGAGTTTGGCTTTCATAACTGTCTTCAAAGAGAAAAACATAGATTTCATGTTGCAGCAAACAACATTTCCTGTCGTTTGTTGAAGGAAGTGTTTTTGTTCCACTGATGCCCTCAAGACATAAACTAACTATTCGGATGAACACTTGAGACGTCAGCGCAAACGAGACGATGGGCCAAGTGTTGGAAACTGGGTTGAGAAGTGAGATGATTGATGACTGGCATAGATATAATGGGCTGAAGGGCCTCTCTCCATGGTGTTAAAATCTCACTGACTATCATTTTGCAAGTGAAACAAAAGGTCAAAATCAGTGTCAAGAAGAAAAGTTGCAAATATTGTGTACACGTTCCTTTTTGGGATTCAGCATTGCAACTGCTGTGTTCTCGGTTTGATTCCCAAATAGGAATGAGGACTTTATTGTTCCTGTTCAAACTCTTAAAATGAACATGAATTCCTGACATTAAAAGACGTACAGCGGACATCTCTGTCAGAATCAGTGGAAGTTTTACCATCAAGGATGAAACCAAACAGGACGAAGCACTGAAATCCATTGACTTCACGTACTCAGACACAGTAATACAAAAATACTTGCTCCTTTTTAAAGCATACAGGTTTCTTTAAGATTTAACATATGGACACAAAAAATTTCCTTCTGGGCAGTCTTGCACCAGAGTGCCTAATATCAGAACAGGGGTCGCACATTTAAG